CACTTTTCGGCCACTTTTCCTCCTTGCCGGCCACTTGAAGTGGTTGGTTGGCTAGGGGAGGTGGCCGACGACCATTTTTCTCCTTTTTCAGATATTTTCTTTGCCAGCTGTGCCAACTGTTGATCACTGAAGTCATCTTCCATACACGTGTATGGAGAGATGAATACAAGCCTTTGGCTTGTATTTCTATATAAGGGGAGGTCTCTCAGAAATTTGATGAGCAAATTTTCCTCTCTCTCTCTAAAATCCTTTCTCTCTTCTTGTTTTGTTTTGAAAGTGAGCTTTCTCTACACATTTGCACTAAGACCCTTGACCAAACACCTTTACCTTGGAGCTGAGGTTCTTGGAGGCCTTGTTTGAGCTTCTAAAAGTGGTTTTTAGCTCATAACTTTTGTTGTTTGTTGATGTGCTTCAAGGGTAAGGACTTGTCCCTTTTAAGCTTTGCTTTAGTTCATTGTTTGGTCATCTTTACATGCTACTTTGAGGCTGGTTTTAACCTCCAAAAAACTCTGTTTTAAAGGTTTTAAAATGGTGGTTTGAGCCTTATTTAGTTAGAGGGTGGTTTCCCCCATTTGCTTTTTGGCTTGTAAAGCCTTTTGTGCCATCTTTCAAAGCTTTTGAAATAACATTTTCTTGGCCTTTTAACCACTAAATTTTAGGGGAATTTCAGTGGTAAAAAGTTGGTTTTGAGGTCCAAAATAGAAGGGGGTGACCTCCTCTCCTTGTGTCTTGCTTGCATGTGTAGTTGGCCTAGCATGTGAGCATGTTTTTCTACCTCCTTATAACTTGATCTCAGCATGTTTTAGCCACTGATTGAGCATGCTTTAACTCTATTTTGGGTGGTTTTGGTCATATGAGCTTAGTCTTGCATGGTTGTAGCGTAAATGGCTTTACCAGCTTTGTGTTTTAAGGTCTCTAACATGCTTTATTTGAGTTGTTTGCATGACATAGCATCATTTAGCATGTAATTTTAGTGCATATATCACTGTCATACTCTCACATATACTACTTTTTCATTACTTTTGAGAGTTGTACTTTGTGTCTTGCTTGCAAGCCAACATGTGCGCATGTTTTTCTTGCCTTTTGTGCCTAAATTTCAGTATGTATTGGCTACTGTTTTGGCATGATTTAGCTCTGTCCAGAGCTAGTTTGATCATTTAAGCTTGATATTGCATGCTTCTAGTGTAGTGCTCTTCACTAGTCTTAATGCTTTTGGCTCTTAACATGTTGTGCATGTGTTGCTTGCATGTTTAGTATTATTTTAGCATGCCATTTCAGCATTAAAAAAGTCTACAACCTTCTTCATTTCTTCATTTTTCCATTTGTTTTGAGGGTTGGTTAACCTTATGATTATGTTTAAGCTTGAGATGGAGCTTGTGCTCAATGGCTTTAACTCTCTTTAAGGGTTCGTCCTAGTCAAAGGCATGAACTCTCTCATGTCTTAAACCATTCTTTGGTTAACCCTCTCTCTTATTAGAGGACTCTCACATTGGACTTGATCGGTTAAAGAACTAATCGGTAATGTAAAATGTGTAAACAAGAATTGGACAAGTAAAACATGAACAAGATAAGCATTTGTGTTGCATTGCATGTGTTTGGATTGGACGTTAATCCAAACACAAGAAATGCGGGATGTTTCACACTCAAAGTGATGAAATGTGTCACATTTCTTGGTCGCCGTCACCCTTGATCATGCATGATAGGTTGGTGGCCATTTGACTCTTACATGTGCATTCATTAAGCTTGTACAAGCTTGGTTCTTTGGCCATCATGCATGAAAATGCTTGATTGGTGGCTTGAGAGCCAAGTGTCATTCTTCTTTGAGCTTAAGACATGATAAGGAGGTGGTAGTACACACATTTCCTTGAAAATACATTGCTTTGCCTCTATTGCTCTCTGTTGCAGTAAAACCATAGGCCTGGAAAAAGCAGTGGCCGACCGACTGACCACATAAAGTGGCCGACCACTTATACTAGCTGACCGACCAGTTTAGGTGGCTGACAGCCACCTTTTGTGGCCGACTGGCCACCAGTCCATTTTTGTGTAAAATGTTCTTGTTTTGAAGCAGAAGCAGTCTGTAACATTAGTTCGATGTTCAGATATCATAACAAATGCAAATAGAGGCAGCCGTTGGCAAGGCGATGGATTTTCGGAAGGAAGCAACCGAGCATGCATGTCTCCCTCGTCCACGAGGCCACTTTATCGCTTTATTAGTTAGTTGTAGCTAATTAATACATGTGTTGTAATTAATTAGTTTAAATCTGTGTTGTAATATTTTAGCTAGCTTAGAATAGTTAATTGATTTATTTCAATTGTGTTGTAATAATTAATTAGCTAGAATAGTTAATTAGTTGTTTTGTAATAATTAGCTTAGCTTAGTGTAGCTCAGCTTATTCATTCGGACCCTCCTTCGAGAGGACATAATATTGTAATAAGTGTGCGTGTGTGTGTGCATGTCTTCCAATCCCATGTCATTCTCCCTTTTATTTATCCGCTTTTAGTGATTAGATTAGGCCACATTTTCAATTAGCATACCTTATGTTTGCATGCGTGCATCATTCATTTGTCTTGCATGCACCGGGCTCGGCGCATCATACAAACTACATTGTATTTCAATACTTCTTTGAATACATGTATCAAATTGTTGCATTCATATGCCATCTTAGATAGCCGAGCCTATTTTGTTGCATTATTGCATGTTTTGCATTAGGCATCTTGTATAGTTAGGATCATGCATTGTTTCTAACTAGATTTTGTTTTGGCTCGAAGTACACTATAAGTTTTACGCTTTAGCATACTTGCATGAGTGTGAGTGTTGCCATGATAGCATGCTTGCCATGAGGCTATTTGCTTATACGCTAAACTGCATGAATGCTTGTGGATGAAGGCTTTGTTGCTTGAATTGGAACAATTCAATAAATGTGAGTTTTAAGCCCACTTTGCGAAGTGGCAAATCATGTTTTAAATCCCATCATGTTTGGTGGCAAATCTGCACTTTAGCCCACTTGAGGGTGGCACTTTCAAACCATTTTTGAAAACAAACATGAGTTGATTTGTTCCAAGTCTTGCGACTTAGTCTATACTTGTGTGTGCGTCACATAGTAAAGTTAGTCTAATAACTGGATAAGAACACGTGTTTATAAAATAACATATCATGCTTAATAGAGGCCGATCCTTTGATCGGGCGAGCAGGGGTGCTCATTTCAGGACCTTTCCCTCTCGTACCTAAGTTCTCGAACCGAGGCAACTTTGGTGATGACGGACACGTGGCCTTTGGCACGAGTCGGGGTTTCCTAAATTTCCCAAAAACAAAATATTTAGGTGGCGACTCTGTAATCTGACAAAGCAGTTTAATTTTGGCATTATTTGATTTAAAATAGATTTTCCAAAATGATTTGCCGGATTGGACTCTTTGGTGTTTATCAGTCTCACATTGCACTTTGTGAGATTAGATTTAGAATCGTGACAGGAGTCCGAACTTTAGGACCAATTCGAGCTCTCTAAGAGGGAGGCGCGAAGAAAGTCGAGTTCACAGGTCTTGTCACCAATTTTTGACCCTCGTAGTAGGAGTGAACTTAGTGGTCTTTTTGCAGCTCTCTTGGATGGTGAGAGTGATGGGGGCCGTATTGAATTGCCAAGGGTAGTTTGTGAATAACCGGATGTCCTTCCCAAGGATCTTACTAGTTTTCCATCCCACTGGGAGATCAAGTTCTGCATTGACTTAGTGCTTGGCGCGGCACCAATTTCCATGGTACCTTATAAGTTTGCAGTGGCCGAATTGCATGAGTTGAAGATTCAACTCCAAGAACTTTTAGACAAGGGCTTCATCCGCCCTAGTACATTACCTTGGGAATCGCCAGTTCTCTTTGCGAAGAAGAAGGATGGGTCGTTGCGGTCATGTATTGATTACCACTAGTTGAATCGAGTTACTGTTAAGAATAAATATCCTCTACTCAGAATAGATGACCTATTTGACCAACTTAGAGGTCTCGTTGCTTCTCGAAGATAGACTTGAGGTCAGGGTACCATTATTTGAGAGTCCGGGAGGAGGACATCCAGAAAATGGCCTTTCGCACGCATTATTGCCATTATGAATTCCTTGTAATGCCTTTCGGATTGACAAATGCATCCGTTTCCTTTATGGATTTGATGAACTGAGTTTTTTGAGAATTCTTAGACCGCTTCGTGGTCGTCTTTGTGGACGATATTTTGATTTATTCAACCTCCGAGCAAGAATAAGAGAGCCACTTGCGGTTAGTGCTTGATTTGCTTAGGAAGCACCAATTGTATGCCAAATTTGAGAAATGTGAGTTTTGGTTGACCGAGGTGAAGTTTTTGGGGCATGTGGTGTCAAAAGAAGGAGTAACTGTAAACTCTTCCAAGATAGAGGCCGTGCAGGATTGGGAACAACCTAAAACTGTTTTTGAGATCCGGAGTTTCTTGGGGTTAGTCAGGTAATATCGCCGTTTTGTAAGGGACTTCTCTAGACTAGCCGCACCTTTGACTAGGTTGACGAGGAAGGGTGTCAAATTTGTGTAGAGCGAAGCTTGTGAAAAATCATTCCAAGAACTTAAAACTAGATTGACTACCGCACCGGCCTTGGTAATTTCGAAAAGAGGTTTGGGTTATACCGTCTATTGTGATGCATCCCAAAATGGGCTTGGTTGTGTCTTGATGCAAGAGGGAAATGTTGTGGCCTATGGTTCATGACAATTGAAAACTCATGAGAAAAACTACGCCACCAATGATTTAGAATTAGCGGTGGTAATTTTTGCCTTGAAGATTTGGAGTCATTATTTGTATGGTGAGAAGTTTGAGGTTTTCTCCAATCTCAACAGCCTAAAGTATTTGTTTTTCTAAAAAGACTTGAATTCACGCCAACGGAGGTGGATGAAATTTATGGAGGTCACGACTTTGAGTTACACTATCATCCGAGGAAGGCCAATGTAGTGGCCGATGCCTTGAGTCAGAAATCAGAGAGTAGTTTGACAAGTGTGGCCATGCGGGAATGGGATATTCTAGGCGATATCGGTAAGTTTGACTTGCAACTAGGTGAGGCCAGCGAGGGTGCTACCTTGTTTACTTTAATTGTTCAATCTGCCTTGATTAATAAAGTCATAGAGGAACAACAGGGGGATCGTGAGGTAGAGTCAATCCGTAATAGGATCTCCAATGGGAAGGAAGAGAAGGGTTTGAACATTCACTCAGATCTGAGTGTACATTATCTAGACCGGTTGTTTGTACCGGAATCTTGTAGAGAGAAGGTACTCCGAGAGTTCCATCACTCAAGCATTGCGGTACATCCAAGAGGCACCAAAATGTATCATGGCCTTAGTCGTCAATTTTGGTTGAGGGGTATGAAACGAGATGTTGCCTTATTTGAATCAAAGTGCCTTGCTTGCCAACAAGTGAAGGTTGAACACCAAAGGCTAGCAGGTTTTCTCCAACCCTTACCAATAGCGGAGTGAAAATGGGAGTATGTTATCATGGATTTTGTAGTTAGGCTTCCAAGAACTCGACGGGGCAATAATGTCGTTTGGGTGATTGTTGATAAGTTGACTAAGTCTACACATTTCATTCCGCTGCGTACCGGTGACTCAGTTGGGTATTTGGCAGAGTTGTACATTAGAGAGATAGTTCGACTTCCTGGGGTCCCTGTGACCATTGTATCGAATAGAGATCCTTGTTTTACCACTCGGTTGTGGCAAAGCCTTCAAGAGGCATTGGAAATTAAGTTGACCTTTAGCACCGCTTATCACCCTCAAACCGATGGGCAGTCAGAGTGTACCATTCAGATTTTGGAGGACATGCTTAAAGCTTGCGTCCTTAATTTTAAAGGGTCTTGGGAGAGACACCTACCATTGATTAAATTCGCCTATAACAATAGTTATCAAGCTAGTATTGAGATGGCACCGTTTGAGGCCTTGAATGGTTGGCCTTGTAGATCACCAGTTTGTTGGGCCGAGGTGGGTGATGCACCGTTATTGGGTCCGAAAATTGTTAGAGAGACAATCGAGAAAGTTGCTCTCATTCTGAAGAGGTTAGCTACAACTCAAATCCGACAGAAGAGTTATGCCGATACGAGGAGATGACCCTTATCTTTCGAAGTTGGTGACCACGTGTTCCTTAAAATCTCACCAAGGCAGGGTTTGATGAGATTTGGTAAGAGTGGTAAATTGTCTCCAAGGTTTATTGGGCCTTTCGAGATATTGGAGCAAATTGGGGAAGTGGCATACCAGTTAGTGTTACCGCCACAACTTTCGGGGATTCACAATGTGTTTCATGTATCCATGCCTAGAAAGTATGAACCCGACCCTTCTCATATGCTTGATTGGGTTGATTTTGAGGTATATGAGGATGCCTCTTACGAAGAGCAACCGGTTCAAATTTTAGACACCCGGGAACAAGTGTTGAGAGGAAAGACTATACCATTGGTCAAGGTATTATGGAGACACCATGGGGTCGAGGAAGTGACTTGGGAACGAGAGACGGAGGTCCGCTCCAAGTATCCAGATTTGTTTGAAAATGTTTAATTGTTTTAATTTGTGATATTCCATAGTGTTGGAGGGAAATGTGTTACATTGTTAATCATGTGTTATTGTGCATGTTGTTATTTCAAACATGTGATTATTGTGATTGTCATAACTATGGTTGGAAAATTTCATGCTTATACTCATCACGAATCGTTGTTGTTAATATTGTGACTAAGGCATTTGGAAACCACGATGTTAATGGTGAGTTTTGGTTGAGAATTGGTGTTGTGATTTGAAATTATGTTTAGTGTGGTTTGATTACTAGAAATCCTTTCTTGTTTGAGAAGTTGATTAAATTTCAGGGATGAAATTTCCTATAGTGGGGAGGTTGTGATGATTAGGTATGTAAAGCCGCCTCGTTCCTCTTTGATTTATATTGGGTTACTCTTGTTAGAGTGTCGAGTTTAACTTGAAGTCTGGTTAACTGTTTGGGTTTGTTGTAATTGGAAACCTTTCTCAAAATCGTCGTTCTTATTTATTCCGGTGTCAAGTTTCACATGTTTTGGAAGGCATGAGGTTGGATCAAGGATTTTCTGTGCAATTGGTAGAATTTCTTACTAGGAGGTAGCGTTGCACGTGCGGGGGCATGGGCCGACAGGGGTGGTTTGGGTGCAATACTGGAATAATTGTATGTGAAGCAGCAAGTATGGGGAAGGAAGGGCTGCACGTGCGGGGGTGGAGGCCGTACGTGCAGGGAAAGGCGCACACGTGTGGGAGTCTACTGAGTCCGAAAATTCACTCATTTTCTCCTTCTTAGGCTGTGTGTATACCACTTTTACACATTTCTCTCTCTCTCTAAAACACTTTTTTCTCCCTTCTCTTTACATTTCCTACACTAAACTAGATTAAATCCTTGATTTCTTCAAATCCATTGGAGTTTTGATCATAGTCCCTTCATCAAAGTTGGATAACTTCTCGAGGGCTACGCTTTATGCGATGGAGATCAAGTTTCAACACCGTTGATTTTGGGGGTTTCATCTCACTTCTTCTCCAAAATTTGAGGTAAGAATTTTCTTAGAGTTATATGTATTTTTGCAAGATTATGTTGATTTGGAACTCTTTTGGGAAGTATGGAAACTTTGATTTTGGCTCATGTGTTGTGAATGATTTTAAAGGTGGGTTTCCATAATGTTTTTTTTTAAAAAAAAAACAAAAAAGCAAAAAAATCCTTGAGATTGTGAGTTATATTATTGTAAAGAAGTGTTAGCTTGAAATAATTTCTTTCAAAATGAGGAGGAAACCTAGTTTATGGAAACCCTAGAAATTTGAGAAATTTTGAGAAAATGCAGTGATGTTATGAAATTGATATTTGACCAATATTATGACAAGTGTAGACATAAGAATTTCGTGGTATATGAGAATTAGTGGGTTTGGAAATTTGCTGATGGAAATGCATGAAATGTGGAATGTGTTGCTCCTCGATAGGGATTGATGAGCATATATTTATCTTGTGAAATTTCATTGAAAGAGAGTTGGGAATTGTGATCATAAATGGAAAAATTGTGTGGAAGAATATATTGATATATATATATATATATATTACATTAGCATTTCAATTCATTTGATTATTACGAGTTTTGAATTGAGAAATTGAAAAATCTTGCATTGAATTATTTTGAGATAAATACGTTGGTAAGTCCGAATAGGGGGTGTAGATGAAATTGATTAAGTTGGCCTGAGTGTGTAGGGTGAAAGATCGAAAACATGCGCGGAGGAAGTACTATGTGCCTTCTGGTTATCTACCGGTAAAGTGGAGGTTTTGGCAGTGCTAGTTATGCCTACTTGCAGATACTAACTTAGGGATTATCTGAGTCGTATTTACTGTCCCTTGAACTTGATGTAAAATTATTGAATTGTTAAATTTTCAAGTTTTCATTGAGCATGATGGTTTTCAAAAAGATGATAATGTGACTTTATTTTAAAATCATGACATAGCATATGCATTTTAACTTGTGACAATTGTATAAAATGTACATACTTTGTTAAGAATTTCCTACTGGGCTTTATGCTCACCTTATGGGATTTTGTGCAGGAAAAGATCTGGTGATTTCGCCAAACTAAGGGCGTAGATGTGTATGTTGAGAGCATAAGGCTCTAGTTTGATTATATTTTTGCAAGCCAAGGGCTATATTTGTATGGATTCGAGCAACCATTTTGTGTAACCGGGCTTAAGCCTTGGACTTTGTAGCCCCTTGAGGGCATTTATTTATTTTGACTAGATGTTTTACATGCTATAGATTCATATACTAAAGTCATTGAATGTATAATTGCATGTAGAACTATTTTGTAAATCTCATATGATTATGTATTCCAGTGTTGGAGATTCACTTTTATTTATCGTAAGGAGTAGTGGTGGATGTATTTTATTGGGCATATTTTCTTGGGGCGTTACAACCAATGGTGGGATAATACATCTCATCTTAGACCATACCATGTGGACACTTATACCTGGGGACCCTTTACAACCCTCATCTCTGAAAAGATTGCCAGGAAGGCTAAGGAATGCTAGAAAAAGGGTTGCTCATGAGCTTCTAGCTAGAACAAGTCACAGTAAGAGGTCTAGTACATTGAGATGTAAATGGTGCATGCAATTTAGACACAATAAGAGAACTTGCCAAGGAGGTCCACTAAGGGGCAGAGCTAGTGGCAGTGGCACAAGTGGTTCTAGGGGTAGTGGCATAAGTGCTAGTAGGGGCAGTAGCATACCTGTGGATAGGGGTAGAGGTTCTGTGAGAGGCACTTCAACTGGAAGGGGTATAGGGGTGTAAATCTGGCCTGGCCCGGCCCATGTTAGGCCTCACGAGCTATCGCCAAAATTCGAGTTGGGTCTGGCCGGTCTATGGGCCAAAAAATTAGGCCTAGGTCCAGGGGTATTCAGGCTGGTGGGCTGGGCCTTGAGTTGGCCCAGTGGACCTGGGCCTAACCTTCGGCTTGGGCGGGCCTGACCATTTTTTTTTTTTTTTTTTTTTTAATTTTTTCTATTAAAATTTTATTATTTTCCACTAAAAAAATACTGGGCCTTGGGGCGGGCCTTGAGCGGGCCGATAGACCGGGCTTCAAAATGATAGCCCAGGCCCAAGCCCACGCCTAGGGTCTCGGGCCCGAGCCTAAACATGCTGGGCCCACCATGGGTCACGGGCGGGCTTCGGGCCGCCCACAGGCCGCGGGCCATTTTTACACTCCTAAAGGGGTACTTCAAGTAGAAGAGGCAATTCAATTGGGAAGGGACATTCAACTAGAGCAAACATTTCAACAAGTAGAAGAAGAAGTGCAACTAGGAGAATTAGGGGCTAAGGATGGCAATTTGAACCTGACTCGATAGGGCACTCGAGCTCGAATTGAACAGTTATTCCTCGAAAAATATCCCCAATGGGCCGGGGATGGCATTAAAAAATGAATCCCCGATAATATTCGGGCCGAGGACGGGGATATATGTTCCAGCCCCGACCCGACCCGACCCGACCCAAACTCCGGTCCCGACCTTTACCTTGTTTAGCCCCGATGTAAAATTACTATTATGTCCCTATTTATATATATATGTGTGTAGGGTTTGATTGACACACTCACTCACACAAACACAACACTGCTATGCTAATCTATGTCTGTCTGTCTGTCTCTCACCGTCGCTGTTTAGTTTAGGGTTTCACCTCCCTCTCTCTCTCTCTCTTGCACAACGATGGTTGCCGCTCCTCCGTCACTGTCGATCCTCCGTTACTGCCTCTACTGTTTAGAGTTTCGCCTCCCTCTCTCTTTCACACACGATGGCTGCTGCTCCCTTACCGGCGATTTTCAAAGGGTATCTCTCTCTCTCTCTACGCATTTCGATCTAGGGTTTACATACATACATACATACATATATATATATATATATATATGAGTGTATGTATAGTCTCTCTCTAGGGATTTCAACCTCTGTTTTTTTTTCTCTAAATTTATTTATTTTAACTATATATATGATCTGCTATTGATATGTTTTCGACGATCTATTATATATATATAATAACGATCTGTTATTTATTTTAAATATATATATATATATGATTTATTTTAAATATATATATGATCTTTTTTCAACCTTTATCATTGATATGTATGATATGTTTATTTTAAATATATATGTCATTGATGATATATATCTAGTTATTTATTTTCTATATCTTTTTTTTTTATATAATTATAACCTGAGGCTAAATATGATAGTTTGAGGGGGTAATTTGACACAAAATTTAACAAACCATGAGAATTTGAAATTCTAACTTTCTAGATTTCTATTATTTTCATGTAATATGATATTGATGCCTCTGTTAACATTAATTCAATCCATATTATTTTTATAAAGGTTAAAAATGTCAGATGTTAACTCTCAAGTATCATTTGAGAGCGAGAAGTCACAACAATCATCGCCAGCTACAAACTCACCTACAAACTCACAGTCTCCACTCTCTTATCAAAATGTTATTGATTTAGAAGAAGAGTCTAATACTTGTGGATGAACTAAAAGAAAGCCTAGTGTTGTGTGGGAACACTTTAAGAAATAACAAGTCAATAGGGTGTGGAAGGCATTATGTAATTATTGTAATATGCATCTTGGCGGTGATTCAAAAAATGAAACTAGGCATTTGCATGATCATTATAAGAGTTGTACTAGGAAAAAAGTGATGTACATGTGGCAAAAAGTTTTAACTAAAACTTAATAGAGAGAGTCCAAAAATGAATTCTTATATTTTTGATCAAGATTTTCTAGGAAAGAGTTGTCACATGCCATAATATTGCATGAATATCCCCTCTCTATCGTAGATCATGTTGGTTTTGAACGATATTTAGCAGCACTTCAACCATTGTTTAAAGTACCTTCCCGAAATACGATAAAGAGTGATATTTTAAAGATTTATGATTATGATAGGGTGAAGACATTGAGTTTGGTGGAGCATAATAAAAGTAGGGTGATAATCACAACTGATATGTGGATTGCTAGCAATAAAAAAAAAAAAAGGATTCAT